AAGGATATTTGCATAGTGGTTTTTGAAAGCATAGTATCTCCTTCCAGAGCAAAGGGCTACAAGTTTACCTCACATTTAAAAGGTCTGGGCTCCCCACAGTTGAGATTACTCTTATAATGCAACCCACTGCATGCACAAGTGCAAGAAACTGTTAATACACTGGCCACTGCTACTGCTGTAACAAAGTCTTAAAAGTCATGTGTCTTCAGCCAGTATTCCACAAAACTCTTAGCTTGTAAATAGGGGAAAATCTCAAACCTTTCACAGTTCTCATTAGATTATAGAACTCAGATAAGCTATCATGTTATCATCTACCTTTCAAGTCATTTGAGAATGAAAGTTTTAAGATTTGGATGAAACGAAAGGACTAGATGACTGATTTTTCTTTAACATTTCTCAGCTTCCTTTGTAAAATACATCAATAAATTGCACCCCCCCCCCTTTTTTTTTTGGACTGTGCTGTGCTTCTTGTGGGATCTTAGTTCCCTAACCAGGGATTGAAACATGGCCCTTGGCAGTGAAAGCAGAGTCCTAATCACAGACTGCCAGGGAAATCCCTTTAAATTGACTTTTTGTGTGTTACAAAATTCCCCAGCAGCCGGAAACAATTTTCCCTCCCAGAAGCATTATTATTCTCTGAAATTCCTAGATGACTTGCTTTATAGATTTTGTACGATTTAACTTCCTTCTCTCTGCCTTCAGGAACACCTAAAATTTCCCCATGACTCATTTGGTTAGTTTATACAAGATGGCAGACTCTTCACACAAGCTAACCTCTTCTAAGGTCAGGAAACACATTCCAAATATAAGTGTTCTGAATAAATTTCTCCTCTGAAAAGAAATCGTAAGGCTTGGAGTTTTACACAGAATAAAACCAAGCTTGGGTCTAATTATAAAAATATTTATCCTTGCAACTGTATGTTTCCAGGAGAACCAGTCTTACCACTTACATGTAAGATATTCAGTGCTTGCCCTAGGGGCTGTATCTCATGTTATCTGTAGTAACCTGTTCATAGGAGAGGTCAAAAGAGTATAGCCTATGAATATTTTTAGGCATTCTCTTAAGGCCTGAATAAATTCAGACTCCTGATAAGAGATGAGCAGATGAAATGTAATAACAGACTAAAAGCAAGTTTATAATGGAATCCTGGCAATACTTACCTATTCTGGAGAAAATCCACAGTAAGTTTCATCATGAGTAATATAATCAATTCAGAATTAAATAAACTTGGCAGTAAAATGTGATTCTTTGATAACTGATAACACTTGCTATTCCAATTTGCGATAGAGAAAGAGGAAAAATGTAGGTGGTAGGGATGACCCCATCTGCTCTCTGTATAGCTTGTTTCCCAAGGGACATTTGGCAATTTTGACAAACAGTTGTGATTGCGTTAACAGTGGTGGGGTGGTAGTACTATCTGCATCTACTGAGGAGAGGTCAGCTTCCCTGGTGGTTCAGATGGGAAAGGATCTGCCTGCAATGCAGGAGACTCGGGTTCAAGCCCTGGGTTGGGCAGCTCCCCTGGAGACGGAAATAAGAACCCACTCCAGTGTTCTTGCCTAGGAAATCCCAAGGACAGAGGAAACTGGCGGGCTATAGTCTATGGGGTCACAAGAGTTGGACATGACTTAGCTACTAAACCACCACCAGTATTTCCACTGGTTGTTCTCTGTACTGCCTGCATCTGCTAAGCAGAGGTCAGGGATGCTGCTAAAAATCCTATAATGCACAGCACCTCCCCATTGCTTTAAACAAAGAATGCTGTGGTCTCAACTGTCAGTAGCGTCAAGATTGAGAACCCCTGCTGTATAGGAATGACAAAAAATGGTGAGACTGATGATGGAATAGTTCTGTACCCTGGCATCTAGTTATGGTTACATGAATTTATACACAGGATAAAATTGGACAGATACACACACATGCACAAATCAATGAAGATTTAATATGGTAAAAACTGAATGAGGCTTATAGCCCAGTTAACATGTCAATTTCCTAGTTTAATATTATGCAGCCAAAATGTAAGATGTCACCATAGAGGGAAATCAGGTGAAGGGTACACAGGACTCTTTGGAGTACTGTTTTTCCTGCTTCTGTGAGTCTATAATTATTTCAAAATAAAAACTAAAAAAAAAAAAAAAAGGTGAGACTGGAACACAGTAAGAACCACAGGTGTTCTCTTCAGAGAGGCTTGCTATAACTTCTTCCCTCAGGCCACTACTGGCCCTCGTGTTGCTTCGTTTGCTATCCACTGGCTGGCTCAGCTGTGGGAACCGACTGAGCAGCTTGTATTCAAAGTGTGTAGTGGCTGTAGATTTATTTGTAAATCCTACCCAGTGGTCTAGAGTTTTAGTTGACAAATTAATAAACAATCCTCCTCACCATAAACACTTCTCCAGGGTTAAGGCTCAGAAACTTATTGAACATTTCACCCTTTTCCCTTTGATTTGCAAGTAGCCCAAGAGATACTAATGGACTGTTCCTAGATTGTGGACCACAGTTTAAGATCAGTGCCCTAACAGCGTTTCTATTTCTCATCACTGCCTCTTTCTCATGAAGTTGCCCCTTTCAACACACTTAACCAAATCACATCCATTCCTTTACATGCAACTCAAATTCCTTTCACTTCACTTCACTTTAAAATCCTTCTCTGACTTTCCTTCCTTCCCCTTCATCAAGCAGGAGGTGAAATAATATGTCCTTTCTCTGAAACTACTGCAAAGCAAATAAGGTTCAAGTTAAGTATTGTATGTATGTATTGATATCTATCTATCACTGCGACATAAACCTTGCAGGAGACAAAGGAGTATAAAATATGATTTACTGATTTAAATGAATTTCTTCTCTAGTGGTAAAACGGACAGTTCAATAATTCATTAACTTTAGCAGAAAATGCTATCATGCCAAGAAATCAGCTTAGGCACTGTGTGGTACATATGATGATCAAGACTTGACCCTGTTTTCAAGGACCTTGTCTAATAAAACAAAATGACTGAGAATGACACAAGGCCAGATGGGTAAGTGACACCAGAAGGGTGTCATATGGGAATATAGAGTATTTAGAAAATACGTCTGATCAAAGAAACATTATCAGGGAAAAACTGTTAGGGAAAGTCTCATTTCAGCTAAGTCTTGAAAGATGGGTAAAACAATGAAGTCAAAATGAGAGATAAGAATTTCAATTTGCAGTGAAAATGTGTTGAAGCCTAGAGGCAGGAAAGCACAAGACAAGCTTGGAATGCTTAGTGGACTCACTTGATTTTGGGTTAAGATAGGAGTAAGATATTATTTTGAGAGCTAATGACAATTATCTGGGTGTCATAATGAAAGTTTAGTTCTACAGGGATGGCATATGGCACCAATGATAAATAGTTTTGAGGATGGTGACTTCAGACTGGAAGCAAGGGAATCTGGAGGAGGTTATTGTTGCAATCTAGGCCAGAATTAATGAGGGTGTGAACTGGACTGGTAACAGGAGAAATAGCTTTAGATAATAGAAGGTATGTTACAAGTGATGAATTGTCAGGTGATGTGTACAAATAATTATGGTGGAGGTCAGAGAAAAAAATGATTCTGCTTAGGTGTTTTCTATTAGGGAAGCAGCAGTAATAATGGACATGTGTGGAGGGGGTATTGACTTGAAGGAGTGATCCTGGGTGAGAAAAATACAATGTACAAGTATTTCTAGAGATGAGAATAAACCTGTTTGACTGCAGCAGATCGTTTCTATACAGTAATGGGAGTGAAGCTTGAGAGACTAGGAGTTAGTTGTGGAGGGCCTTGTACCTAGTTAAGAAGCTTGGGCTTCATTTTTGAGAAAATGGAAGCATGATCAACGCCTGTTATTTATACCAGTTTTGGATATATGTACCATCTTGTGTTACTATGTAAGTTCCTGGACACGGGATTAATTTGCTCAATAAATTCTTGTTGATTGATTGAATCTGTTGACTCATTTTGTCAAGGAAGAATTCTTCTACCATGTGAATAACAGCCTCTTATTATTATAGTTGAATTTTGAATATTGAGACTTAAAAAATGCGATCTATCCACTTACAGCTGACTCATATTCACTTATGAAAACTTAATGATAAAATGTCTGGAATTCTGTGAGCAAGGACCTGAAGTTGGTAGCTTGAGATTGGCCATTTTGCAAATATTTACATCAAGGGGATTGAGAAATGCTAAAAAAAAAAAAAAAAAAATCAAAGCTTATTTTCTGGAGAGTTGGTTATTAAACCCATATCAGCATGGCACCACTTATCTCCCCCTCCTTCCACTTCTTACCCCTCATCCAACTTGCTTCTAAGTTCTTTGAGGGCAGACTGAATCTTATTCCTCCGTATCTTCAACATTAATGTACTCAATCAATGTATATAGATGAATGAAGTATGCTTTTGTAATTTTTTCTAGACTATTAATAAGAAGAAGGAAATGGCAACCCACTCCAGTATACTCTTGCCTGGAAAATCCCATGGATGGAGGAGCATGGTAGGCTATAGTCCATGGGGTCGCAAAGAGTCCGACATGGCTAAGCGACTTCACTTCACATTAATAAACAAAAGATATTAAAAAGAAAATGCCTCAAATAGACATTTAGAGCTCTTGGGCCAATTTTTTTTTTTTTTTTTTCTTGTAAGTAGTTTTACCAGGACATAATCAGGCTTAGTCTTGTGTGTATTGTCTATGGTTGCTTTGTGATATTACGGCAGAGCTGAGTATTTGAGACAGAGAACGCACGGCCCACATAGCCCAACATACCTAGGATCTAGTCTCTGAAAGTTTGCCAATCCCTGATCTAAACACACACCTCAGTGGTTTCTTAAGAGGGTAGGGCTGTTTCTAAAAAGGTCCATAATGAATTATTATACTGTATATACGTACAGATAAATTATATTACTTCATAAATCGTGCACAATCAAAACTTTTTAGAAATTAATGTAACACACACATAATCACAGAGCAATTTCATAAGTGCAGACTTAGATATAAACGGTTTTCTACCTTGAGGAGTAATGATTACTTCACATCTAAACATATGTAAACAGCCATTCTTTAGCAGAAAGCTCTGTGTACTTTCATGTTGTTGAAAAATGCTGCCAGAAACTTCGCTGATATGAAATGACGTCGCTATAGCAATTTACACGTTCAGAAGTTCTTAGACTCAGATTTCAGAGTGGCTCTGCTAAGAAGCGGACTTCATGCAAGAGTACTGAAAAGAGCCAGAACAGAGCTGGACGGTTTAAGAACAGAAATACAAAGTCTATCTTTCCACACCTGGGTCATGGAGTGGTGTCAAAGTTTACATTTGCGCAATACTGGTTTATACAGTTTATGTCCAGTGTTGTACATTCCTTGCAAGTCATCTTTAAAGGCAAGTGATGAGGTCATTTCAAATTTAATATTCTCTAGGGAAAAATTAACTTCCTGTTTCTTATTTACACATGTATTACACTGAAAATAATTTTTGAATGACTACCTTTGATGTCACCTAAAGTCTGAAACAGGGCAATAAGTTAATTTGGTAGAGTATAAAATGAACACCTCGGCTACATTGTGCTGTCTCAGCCGGGAGAGCACGCCTTGGATACTATATTTCTGCCCCAAACATCTTACGGGACAGTATTGACAGAGAATTCACCCGGGGGCTAGCAGGGCTTTCAGCGCCACTCCCAACATAAGAGGCCTGATCCCCTGACCTAACCTTGCTGACCAGGGTGGGAAGCTCTGGCCTCGGAGCACTGACCGCTCGGAACAGAGCAGGGTGGCGACAGGGGCGTCCTCCATTTTCCTTTCTTTATGATGAGGATTTTTTTCGTCCATTAACTTATCTTTCAATTCTAGCACACCGTGTAGTAAAAGCAAACGTAAGTACGCCACATTTAAGTACATTTCAATATCAACTACAAAAAACCCTCGCGGGCATTTGTTCCAGACCCTCCTCCCAGTGGGGTACACCGTGAAACAAGCTCAGGCTCCTATGGGATGCGCACCGTAACCGCCGGAGTGAGGTGAGAGGGTGGGGGAGAACTACCTGGCCTGCCATCGCGCAGGCGCATTTCCGGCCGCAGCGCCCAGTGGTCTAGCTCCCTTTCCAGTAATTTCGCTAGCCGTGACGTCATCCTCGTGCGCCCTTACGGTGCCTCCCAGAACCCCCAAATTTATATTTTTGTGAAAGGGGTAAGAAGGAATGAACTGACCTCTTCCACCCCACTCTGTTTTTAGTCCTTGACTCTGGACGCGCCTACGCTTTGGGCAATGGAGCGGGAGAGGGAAAGAAAAGCACTCGGAGATCCAAACGGCGCCGGCCAGGCATGACTCGGCGACGTCGCCAGCCGCGTTACCCGGCGTGCCCCGCGCGGCGCGGGCAGAGCGGCGTAGGGGGAGGGGCGGGGAGGAGGAAGCGGCGGCGGCGGCTGCTGCGGATGTCGCTGCGACTGATCGGCGTCTGAACACACGGCGGCTGCCGAGCGCCCGACCCGGGCCTGCGCCGGAGCCCACGCCAAGCTCCGCGGCTCCTCGCCCGCCAGGGCGGCCCTGAGCCAGTTGTCACTGAGGCAGCGTGCCTCACATTCTCCGCTGTCAGGCCAGGAGGGCTCTGGCGTTGCCTGGCTCCCGCTCGCTCACCCGCTCCCTCCTTTGCGCCTGAGTCACCGCCGCCGCCATGGCCGAGAATGGTGAAAGCGGCGGCCCTGCGAGTTCCCAGGACAACGCCGCCGCGGCCGAAGGTGCCGGCGCACCGGCCGCCACCGCCTCCACGGAACCCAAGATCATGAAAGTCACCGTGAAGACCCCGAAGGAGAAGGAGGAGTTCGCAGTGCCCGAGAACAGCTCCGTCCAGCAGGTGAGGGCCGCGCTAGGCTTGGGGCGGGGTGGGGATGGCGGCAGGACCTCCGCCAGCGACAGGAGGAGACTGTTTTGCAAGGGCTTGGGAGGAAGGGGTTGTTTCTGGAGGTGCCCTCGGCCTTTCTCCTGGGTCTGATCCCAAATTAGATCACACCCAGGTTTGTGGATTTGCTCCTGGGGACACCGCAGAGGTTTGTGGCGGGGCCTCTTGGCCTGTTTGTGGGACGCGCTGATGCCGCTCTCCTCAGCGCCTTCCTCCTGCTCCGGCGTCCGCCGACCCCAGCCTCCTCCCCCAGCTCCCCGCCTCCAGCCGCCTCCCTCTGACTCCGCACAAAGGAAAGAGACCCGCCGCCTGGCTCGGGCGGGGTGGAGGCTGGGCGAGGGTTTGACTTAGCCTGGTCTGCGGTTTTGTCTCTTGAAGGAAAAAAAAAGGGGGGGTGCTCATTGTTTTACCTGCCTGGGGGTTAAGGTAGATTTTGGGGGTGAGGAGCACGTGTCCATTTAGTTCTGCGTTTTGACCGCTGAAATCTTTCCCACCTTCCAATTTTTAAAGAAAAAAATGAGCTGTGACGTAGAAATTGCTTTCAGCCAAATCTTAATAGAACTAGGCTTAAGGAGAAAGGTGAATGACTTTCACTGACGACTTTCTGGTTCTGTTTTTTTTTTTTTTTAAGTGTGTTTGTCATTCTTTAGATGCCAATCGTTGGGGAGGTTTTTGTTTGATTTTAGAGGAATAGCTACGTTAGTCACATGTTAGCAATTGCAGTCAGATGAAAGAGCACGAACCTGGAGTTAATGGAGGAAATTTAAAAGTAATTTACCGCTTAAAATCTATTCAGGAATACAGTTATTGCAGTTAATTAATGATCTTGAGGAATTTAACAAATCATTTTAGTTTTTGTTAAATATACGTCCCAGAATATTTCCGTAATTACTGAATTGATCTCAGACAGTTGATCAGCAGATATCAAGACAGTGTGAACAGTTTATGAAGAAGCAAAAATGAAACGTACCTGTAAGTTTCCCTTAAGGAACAATAAACAATTGCGCTATTTGTTTATATGATTATGAAAGGTGGTGTGTTCTGTCAAGTAGTAAGAATGTGTAGCATCGTGAGAAACTTTGACCACCTTTTGAATCCCTATTTTTTTGGTCTCTCAATTTTCCTATAAAATTTTCCCTTAATTTTTAAAGTATTTTCCAGCATAGGAAAGTTGGAAGTGCAATGAACTGTCATGTGTCCATCACCTACAGTTAGCATCTCACACAATCATTTGTTGGTCAGTTTTATTTTTTGGATGCAATTCAAAGCAAGTTGCAAGTATTAGTACATGTGATGCTTTTGAACTGTGGTGTTGGAGAAGACTCTTGAGAGTCTCTTGGACAGCAAGGAGATCCAACCAGTCCATCCTAAAGGAAATCAGTCCTGATTGGAAGGACTGATGCTGAAGCTGAAACTCCAATACTTTGGCCACCTGATGCGGAGAGCTGACTCATTGGAAAAGACCCTGATGCTGGGAAAGATTGAGGGCGGGAGGAGAAGGGGACGACAGAGGATGAGATGGTTGGATGGCATCACTGACTCAATGGACATGTTTGAGTAAGCTCTTGGAGTTGGTGATGGACAGGGAAGCCAGGTGTGCTGCAGTCCGTGGGATCGCAAAGAGTCAAATACAGCTGAGCGACTGAACTGAACTGTACCCTTAAAAAGCACTTCAGCAATGTGCATTGCATATCATTAGCCTGAGTTCAGGTTTTCAACTTAAAATTTTTGAAGGTAAATTTGACTTACAGTGAAATACAGTCGGTTGCCATTCTACGAGTTTACACAAATACATACACGTGTGTAATTCGAAGCCTTCTGGAGTTGTAGAGCTTTATAATTAACTGGAAAGTTCCCTCTGGCCCTTTCCCAGTCAGTTCAGTCACTCTGCCCGATTCAACCACTGTTTTTCTCTATGGATTCGTTTTGCTTATTGTAGAGTTTCATATGATATATAGTATACACTCTGTTCAGTAAGGCTTTTTCATTCAGCTTAGGGTCTTGAGACTTGCTATTATGTATCATCAGTAATTCTTTCCTTTTTATTGCTTTTTGCCTTCCATTGTATGAATATACCACCGTAATTATCTGTTTTCATATTGAAAGTCACCTGGACTCTTTCCAGTTAGTTGCTCTGAACACTTCTATGCAAATCTTTTTGTTGGATGAATGCTTTAATCTCTCTTGTTAATGCTTCGAAGTGGAATGAGTGTGTGTAACAGGGAAGCTGAATGTTTAGTTTCATAAAGAACTGTGGTTTTTTTTTTAAGTGCTTGTACTTTACAATCCCACTGACAGTGCGTGGGAATTCCTGTTGCTCCATAGTCCTACAAACATTTGATAATATCAGTCTTTTTTATTTTTGTTACTCTAATGAATGTGTAGCCATGTTAACTTTTGAAGCCCATAGTTGTTCTTTCTAGGATTTGAAGTTCAGGTCTCCATTATTCTGGCTGCTTTAAGCATTTTACTGTAAAAGATTAGAAAGTCAGTATTTTGTAAATGGAAAAATTCATTTAGATCAGTTTATTATACTATTATCTGTGAGTATTTTTTAACTTTTTATGATGGGGAAACTAGAATTTCAAATTCTGTGGAAGTTTTAGTTGAACTCTTCTATAACCAAAGTAAAATTTTAACAGATAAAGTCTTTCTGCAGCAACTTCGACTCACGATAGTTGAATTTTTATTTTGATAAATACTTTCTTTTGAAGTAGAAAATGTGATAAAAATTTAAGCTTATCATTCGTTGCATCAAGAACCTGAAGACAAATTGAACTACCTGTGGGCTCTGTTAGGTTAAGTACGTTTGGAAAAATGTACAAGAATAAGAAAAGTAGTTTTCACATGGTTTGAAAATTTCTTCTTGAAGCACAGGAAAAGTTCAGTCATCTACAATTTTAAGTTTTTCTCTAAGGGTTTCACAGATTTAAACTATTTACTACAGATTAAAATTAGTCAATAAAATAAACTTAATGACGTTGAGATTTCACTGAAAATGTTTTGTAAAAAATTGGGAAGTATTTGGTCCTGAAAGTTCTTATGTAATCTTAGAGGTAAAAAGGATAAGCAGAAGACCTACAAAAAATAATATTGAAGGCTTAGGCTTTCTATTAGACACATCCCATGTTGAAAATTTGTTTTCTGTGTAATGTAAATTCTTTTACTGTACTGTGCTGAAAAGTATCTGGGCTTCTGTGATAGCTCAGATGTGATAGCTCATTGATAAAGAACCCTCCTGCATTGCAGGAGACCCTGGTTTAATTCCTGGGTGTGGAAGATCTGCTGGAGAAGGGAAAGACTACCCACTCTAGTATTCTGGAGTATGTATATGAATGTGTTCTAATCGATTGGGTGAAATTATATTAAATTTCTTAGATAAGGTATAAACAAGTTGTAAGGTGGTTATTAAGTTTCTTATTTTTCCCTCTGTTTCTATTTGTAACAGGGAGAAACAGGATACTTTAATACAGTTTGTATTCAATTTTAACTCATTCAAGGTTGATGATAAAGCTTATACTTTTTGAAATTAAAGTGAAATTTATTTTTTCATTGCAGGCTCAGTGGGGTAAAGTTTAAATTTCTACCTAAAGGTGGTTGGAATATAGACTTTTACTGTGTCTTTCCAAGGTGGTTTCATTAGTAAGGGTTTTCATGATATAAGTTAATAGGTTTTTTAAAATGTGTAATGGCAAAGTCCCTGTGTATGAGATTATGTTTTCTCTTACTTATTCATTATATGCTATTGGAAACAATGTGAGGATTTCTAAGTGTCAGCAGGCAAGATGAAGTCCAGAAGAGTGTTGTGGTTAAAATTAGTGCAGAGAAAAGACGGGACTTCTATATACTAGCTCCTGACTAGGTTGTTTTGGGATTTTTATAGTTCTCTAGAGTATAGTCTTAAGATTTCGAAATACAGTCAACTGAAGTAATCAAGCAGTGTATTCTAGTTTTGGGAAATGTCTTCATCACTTGAATCTTCAAGAAAGATATTAACATAATGTACATGTTACTAACGTACTTAGATATAATGTATATATTGTACTGAATAACATACTTAGATATAATGTATAGTACTGAATTGAATTGAATTTTTCCTTGGTAGGGGAAATTACATTGACTCAGGGTCATTATCACAAACATCATTTAAAACAAAGACTTTATAGTGTAGATCTAGAACTTCTGTCCACAGGCGTGCCTCAAGCCATGTCTGACTGTTGAGCCCGTAGAATGTGACTGATTTGAAATGTGCTGAAGGGGTAAAATACACACCAGATTTTGAAAACTTGTGGCTGGTTTCTTAAGAAGCACAGTGTTTCCAAGATTTATCTGTGTTGTAGCATGTATTTTACTGCTGAACACTATTCCAGCATATGCCACAGTTTATTTCTCCAGTTGATTCATTCATCAATTGATGGACATTTGGAGTGTCTCTACTTTTTGACTACTATGAATAATGCCAAGGTGAATACTTACACAAGTTTTTTGTGGACATATTCTTGAGCATATGCCTTTTGAGTTGAATTATTGGGTCATGTGATAGCTGTCTGTTGACCTGCTCTTGGGACTGCCAAACTGTTTTCCAAAGTGGTTGTACCAGTTTTTATTCCTGCCAACAATACATGAGGATTCCAGTTACTTTCCATTGTCTGTAATACTTGTTACTGTTTGTCTTTATAACTTTACTGCTGTGAAGCGTTTTGTTGTGATTACTTTGCTTTCTATTACTCAAGCAGCCGTTCTTAATATAGTCTGGGGGTCCCCATAGCCCTTCTAGGAGGATCATAAGGTCAATGCTACTTTCATAATTTTCCGAGATATTTTTGTTTTTCACTCTGATTTTCTCAAAAACAAACAACGTACTTTTTCAGAATCTGTAAGATGTGGGTTTTGCTACAATGGGATATTTAATAGATTACATAGGGAGTTTTAAGGTTGAGGATTGACTTCACTAA